CCCCAAAACCCCAAAACCCCAAAACCCCAAAACCCCAAGTAAAAGGAAATTAGAATTAAAGTAAGTTTTAGCAAGAGTAATTAAAGTTTAGAGTCTGTCAATGAATTTATCGACAACAGGGACCTCTTCAGGAAGATTCTTCCTCTTTCGGATAGCTTTTACAATCTCATTTGCCATAGATCCTTCTTCAAGAGGATCTGAAGCCATGGTCTCCCAGTGGCTAAAAGAAAATTCAGGGAAAGCTCTTCCAGAGGTTTCATCTCTTAAATATTCAGCAAATCCGAATGATTCTGCAACAGGCAAGTGAGCCTGCACAACAATGGTTGACTCGTTCGAGTATTCATCTGAGACAATTTTTCCTCTTCTGTTTCCTAATGCAGTGTATACATCTCCTCTCAAAGCTTCTTGAGTCTTGACAGTGCATAGGAACATTGGTTCTTGCAGTCTCGGCTGAGCTGAAAGCAAAGCGCCTTTGAAGACTTTGCCAGTCATTGGAACAACTTGGCTTCCTCCTCTGTGGACTGGGTCTGAGTGCACTTTGGTGTCAGTGATATTGAATCTAACTCCTCTGATCTTTTCTCCTGTTAGAGGACCATTTAGAATAACTCCGTTAAATCCAGAGAGTACATTTCCTTTGATGTCTTTCATGTGTTGAGCTCCAACTGTTTTGTCTGAGACACAATTAGCTTCAGCATCTCCAACACCAAAGGACCAAAGTTTTCTGTATTCGTTTTGGTCAAACTCGAATTTATCTTTCAGGATTTTCTGGATTTCGTCTTTCTTGCATTTGAGAAGTTCATTTTCTTCTATTTCTTTGCACAGTTCTTCTCCAATAGGTTCGCAAGATACCCAAAGTCTGTTCAACTTGTTAGATGACTTAGCCAGCACTGATTCGCATTCTCCAACTACAGTTTCTCGGTAGCTGACTGTTGGCTCAGAAGCAATTATTTCGCATTTAGCATACTCTTTCAAACTCTTTAAGCAAATCTCAACATGGAGGTCTCCAGACCCTGCGACAACAGTCTCTCCAGACTCTTTTGTTTCAATCTTGACCATTGATTCAGTCTGAGATAGCTTCTTTAGTCCTGCAACAAGCTTAGGTTGGTCAGTAGGCTTGACACATCTTACAGCAACCTCAACAACAGGTGAGACTGAGAACTTCATGGATTTGAAGGTGTTTGCTGTGGTATCTTCAGACATAATGGTTCCTTCTTTCCTCAAAGCTTGGTCGACTCCTCCAAGTACAATGGTGTTTCCTCAGGGCATTCCTCCAACAGATTCAACATCTTTGCCCATACATATTCCGACCTTTTTGATTGTCTTGATCTGAGGCTTAGGGTCTTCTCCGTTGAAAACTTTGACTTTGTCTCCAACCTTAACAGTTCCTGAGAAAATTCTACCAAATGCGACCAAGCCTTGATCGAGCGGGAATAGCTTGGAAATGAATATCATTGTTGGCCCGTTCGGGTCACATTTCTCCATAGATTCGATGACATAATCATCATCGACATTGCCCTTGGTCTCTTCTGAGGATCCTTCTCCTTCCTTCTCTTCTTCAAGATCTCCTTCAGACTCCTTCTGTTCTTCGGTTCTCTTGCCTCTGAATATAGTGGCAATTCTGATTTTCTGGGCTTCGACCGGAGATGGTAGATGTTCAACACACATATTGAGAATGCAGTCTGCTGCGTTCAACCACTTTTTGAGAATGATCTTAAGTAGGTCTGAAGAATGCTCTTCTTCCCAGCACTTTTCCTTAATCTCTATATTAATCTTTGCTAGCATTTTCTTGGTAGCATCATAGTTTTCTTCTGTAATGCTGTTGGTGAGCTTGATTAGAGAGGAGACAACAAATTTATGGTATGATTTGGTCTCCTTGAGAGTCAGAGCTTTACTGGAAGCACCTTTACCATATCTCTTAACCATGTCAGGAATGGTGAAGGCCCATCCGAAGTATCCAGACCCGTAAGCAACATTGCCTAGAGCTGGGTCTATCTTGTATTCTTCCTCATCAATGAATTCAGAGATGATGTAGTTAACTTCATTGATAATCTTAGTGCACTGATCATAGAATCGGTCGACATCATGCTCACTCTTGATACCTTTGTCCATCTTGTTGATGAGTAAGACTGGTTTGACTTTTTCAGAGAGTGCTTGCCTCAGAACCATTTCAGTTTGGGTTCAGACTCCTTCAATGTAGTCTACCACGACGAGAGCTCCATCAGTCACTCTGAGCGAAGCTGTGACTTCTGAGCTGAATTCAATGTGTCCAGGTGAATCTATCAGATGAATAATGTGTGGCTTTGGAACAAGCACAACCTCTTCTTCCTTCTTCTCTTCTTCATAAGTTTCATGATACAGAGAGATACTGGTGGCCTTAATAGATATACCTCTCTCCTGCTCTTCTTTAAGTGTGTCTGTCTTAAGGGCTGTTCCAGCCTTTGAGTCTGACAACATACCTGACTTAGCAATGAGAAGGTCAGTTAGAGTTGTCTTTCCGTGGTCAACATGGGCGATTACTGTCATATTCCTGATCTTGTCTTGCTCATAGATCATATTTCTCAAATTTTCTAATACTCCTTGCATTTTTAATTTATTTTTATTGTTAAGAGGTTAGCTAAAAAAGTTCTTATCATTCAAGATTAGCCACTCATATGGGGTTTTGGGGTTTTGGGGTTTTGGGGTTTTGGGGTTTTGGGGTTTTGGGG